AGAAAATGGAAAAAAATGAAAGGATAAGGACCGGAGACACTGTGGTGTTCCGTTAACACAACATCAATGTAAACACCGATGTGTGGCCTGTATATAATGATAGAAACGTTGTAGCTCTAACAGGACTTCCAACCAATCATTGTGAAACATCTGAAGTAGATGTCACTCTGGTCGTTATGGCATGATCACTAGGATCAGCATGGATAATTGTAGCCCCCCGGGATCATGTAGACACCCTTTATCATCACTATAGAGATGAACTCTAAATGATGGCCTGAAAATGTTGGTGATTTCTATGTTGCAACATCAGGACTTCCATCCAATCATCGGTCTGCATCTATAGAAGATGAGCCTATGGAAGTTCTCGCATGGTCACTTGGACCTGCAACTGACTCTAAAAATGTGTCTGTGTCCTAGAAAATTCAAAACATTTAGGAGTGAGATAACTAGACACAACGTGATCAATGAAAGTTCAGTGGCATGGGGCTGAGGGCCACTGTAGTCAGTATCAGTCGCCTCAAAAGGAGACGGTGATAAGAGATGAGGTTCCCCGTGAACAGTGATTAAACAACTGTCTGTTGGGAGACAGGTGAGTGGTCTAGGGTAGGGTTGTGCACGCGCTATTTGGACAAAATGCAGCGACTTCTACCCGGGATCTGAATAAATTCAGTCCTGAACCTATGGGGATTGTCCGGAGTATTTGAGTGACTGGGATTGATTCCTCGATTGATAGCTCATTTGAGGTAGCAGATTTGTCATTGATTATTGTTTTCTTGCTCATCGGAGCCTTCTGCTTCTTCACTCTCATAATATTCACTCAGTTACTCACTCACTCTCGGCTTTGTCCCTTGGGTAGGCTTAGTTGGGTTTACTAAGCCATTAGGACATATCTCTCATTGGTATGTTTCTTTATTCTCTCTCTGTACTCCCCCTCAACTGGAGCACTGAGTAGGATGCCTTTGACGATGTTTGGCGCTTGGGAGGAGAACTTTGAAAACTCCCCCTTAAAATTTGCATCCTTGAGAGAATTCTTGCATTTAATCTAGGTTGTTTGAGGGTTCAAGTTGGGGTTGTTGGCTAGATGAAGCACCATGCTCAAGTATCCGTTGCCTCTTATTCTCCCCCTCACGAGGAGCCGAATAATTGGAGTCCTCATGCAAATGTTTGTGACCGCGGAGACTGTCATGGCATGTGCTTTCGGTTTCAGGTACTACAAAAAGAGCTCATTGTTTGTCAGTGAGTGGAGCTTCTTCGATTTCAAGAATTCTCGCTAGCATAATGGATGCTAGGTCATCGAATGGCATTGCAAATGGGATAGGATAAGGATTGGGGTGAGTTGCTGTTAGGAGTGGGAGGATGAGGGTTGAGTTAGGGTTTGATGATGTCATTAAGAAGCGTGTTACAGTGGGACATGATAAACAGAGTTTAAATGTAGCGGGCGGCCAGATGTGATTAATTTAACGTGACCAATATGAGAAACGGGTAATTTAGTACCATTAGCAACACAAACTTGATTCGGGCCAGTATAAGTAAATTTAGAAGATAAAATACCTTCATGCGGAGTCATGTGCGCGGAAGCCCCAGAATCAGGATACCAGACCGAATCATGCGTCTCACCAGTGGGAAAAGCCGCCAGAGCCGGAGTATTATGTGAAGTGAAACGAGAGCAGGTGATGGCAGAGTGACCTGGAGAGAAGCAAAGCTGACAGACAATTGGCGGAGCAGGAGAGGGATAAGAATTCTCAACAGACGGAAAACCTGCACTAACATTATAAGTACCACAAGTAGAAAGGTGATTAGTAAAACCATAACCAGAACTGACATTACTAAATACCAAACCTGCGCCACCAGGATATGGATGTCCACGTGGATGAGCCGGCTGCCCGTAGGGAGGCGCATACATCGGATATCCTCCAAAAGGCTGCTGATAGTGCTGATTGTGACCACGTCCGCCCCGACCATGGCCACCCCGAGGTCTGCCCCCTCGGTTGTCGCGACCGCCTTGTCCCCATGGTCCGCCTGCACCATACCCACGTGGAGCTGGTCCTCGGTGTGGAGGTGCTTGGCCAACCGCGAAAGCCTGATGCACAGTAGACTAATCCTGAGATGGACTGGCAGCAGTCCGTTGCTCTTGGGCTTGAAGAATCGGCCGTAGTGAGTCAAGCGTAGCATTCCCAGGAAAATAAGATATAGTCGTGATAAGGAATTCATATTCACGACCCAATCCCAAAATAGCGTACTCCATCAAATCACGATTACTGACAGGTGAATTAATCATAGCAAGAGCATCAACAATCAGCTTAATTTCCAACAAATATTGATCCATGTTCTATGACTCTTTCTTTTTAATATGTGACAGAGACCTCTTAAGTTCCATAGAACGAGCAAAACAGGCAGACATAAAACGCGACTCTAGACGCTCCCGGATAAGAGATGAATACTTTAAATCATATACCTCCATCAAAATGTCCCTAGCCAAAGTAGCAAAAATCCATGATCTAACTGTCTGGTCTATTTTTAACCAGTGAGGATAGTCCGGATCGGTGACAAGCGGTACCCGAATTGAGCCATCTAGTATCCCAATAAGACTATGAGACACTAAGAAAGACTCAAATTGGGTACGCCACAACAAGTAATCCTCAACAGCAGATAAACGGACAGTAACAATATTAGTAACATTTGGCGTAGAGAATGATAATTGAGAAGACAATTCAGATAAAGAACCGGTGAAATTGGCAGAACCTGGCTCGGCCAGAACTGAGGCGTGCGGGTGAGTACGCGGCACCGCAGGTGGATTAGTAAATGTCAGCCCTGCATATCTCACAGTGGATGGGCCAATTTCGTGATGAGCGTTCAACACCGGTGGTGGAGGTAGGCTTGCGGTCAGAGTCCAAGTGAACGGTGGCGGCATGTTGAAGAGGTTGTAGGCATCCAAGGAAGGGATATTTGCCATCTGTTGACGAATAGATGGAATTAACGGCGAGGAAAAAGGATTGGGGGGGACGTTGATGTTGGACCCATCTTCAATGGAAGAATCGCTGCCTGGTGCGCGATTGAACCCTGTGGGAAGTCGCTGCTCCATCAGAACGGGCGCTCCTGCTGTGAGGGCGCCGAGGTCATGGCGGCAGTAAGAGGGAGGCCGGCCATGGTGATCGTGAAGAGAAAAAGAAACCTAACAGTCTGATACCATATACGAAAAATATGATTGGGAATAATGGCTTACCCTATTGGGTGCCTTAACCTTGTATTTATAATAAAACAAAGTTATGGAGAATTACAAAGTAATCCCTAATTATTACATTATTACTCACATCAATTACCTTACATAATCGGATACCAGCTCCCAAGCATCCCTAGTAACTCTCCCTTTAATATTTAGGCATGTTTAGTATAATTTGAAATTTTCTAATTTAATTTGATCTTATTTGCATAAGTGAATAAATCGAGTGTGGTAAAGATTTGTTTTATGTATTCTACTCTTTTTAAAGTGCTCGTATGATGTAATTTTTTCTGATCCAATATACTCCCTCCGTCCCTAAAAGGATTGCCAAGTTTGACCGGCATGTAGAATAATAAAGTAAAAATTGTGTGGTAGAGATTTGTGCAGAGGAGAGAGAAATAACAGGATCCACAAATTGATTGATTAAAAGGGAAAGTGGCAAAGTTTTTGGGACAACCAAAAAAGAAAATTGGCAAAGTTATAAGGGACGGAGAAAGTATTAGTTTTGTTCAATTTATCCAACCTAAACATCTTTGTTTTTTCTTTCCACATTTTTTCCCTAATTGATTTATTTCTAAAATTTTATAAACACCAACGAAGGTTAGGATATTTTAGGTATAATAAATGTGTTGGTGTAACACAAAGCAATATGCTCTTGTACATTATGCTCCCATCATTATACCACATATTTTTACTCATGTTTTCTTCCGTTACTTCCGTTAAATCCATGCCTTAGCCGTCTCTGCCTTGAGTCTTCATGTTGTTCCTTACGTATTTACTTTATCTTTCTCATTTAATTTTTTCATTTAATTTTGAATATTAAATTCACTTTTTGTGGTACCCATACTCTCTAAATTGGAACGGACAAATGGTTTAGCCTAGATACGAGTTGGAGGAACGTTATTGAAGACCAATTTTCTCACTCACTTTCTTTTATTATTATTATTATTATTGTTGTTGTTGTTGTTGTTATTATTATTACTACTACATATACTACTACTACATGGATTTTTTATGAATAGTATGTGCGATTTTTTATATTTCGTATTTGCATTCTCTCATCATACTCAATATCTCGAATAATAATACATAATGATAATTGGCATTTTTCCCACTCAATTTTTAGCCTAATTATTTATACTTCCACTAATGTAAATGACATGATTGTTTTAATTTACTATTCCAAACTTTTGTCATTCATATTTATCAACTACTTTATTAATAATTGTCTCAGATCAAAACAAGAATCATAAAATGGAATAACGATAGTACTATTTACCGACGAATATTAGAGAAATAGAAGTTATCTTGCATATTAGTGACTTTTATATATATTTATGTTGATCTTCGTTTACTATACCTTTCATTTCATATCTAGTGTATATCACGTGAATACCTCATATTAGATCGTATATTAAGAACCATCAATAATTAGATATGTATCAGATATTTCTCACTATGCTAATGATACTTTTTATTATGAAACTAGGAAAATAGGGTCTAGCTCATATGAGGATTTGCATTTATTATATTTTATTTTTGGGTCATCTTTCGTATGAAGGAACATTAAATACTCTAATTTTAAGTTGATACAAATGTTAACATGTCAAATATAAAAAAAAAAATATCAAATTAACATACAATATACATATTTCTCAATAAAAACACATTGGGCATTTTATTCAATGTTAAAAACTAGTTTCTTAATAAAAAACGTAGAAATAGAGACAAAACGGGCCGACCGCGGTACAACCCGTCAAAAAACCCTTTCTCCCGCCACTTCCATTTCCCGCTAAATTGAGTACTCTACCATAGCACCATTTCCTTCCTCCGCCGTTTCCTTCTCCAGTATTTCGATTTCTCATTTTTCTCCGATGGCGCCTTCTCAGAAAATGACGGAATACGAGCGTAAGAGGCTGGAAAACATCAAGCGCAACGAGGAAATGCTCGCCGCCTTCAAAGTTCATTCCCACCTCTCAGATCTCTCTGCTGCAACTGCCGCCGCCAAATGTCCCAGGTCCTTCTTTCTGTCTAGAAACTTATCTGTATTTTTTATTTTTATCCCAGAAAGGAAACCACATATCAGTGACTTATCTTTGTTTTTTATATTAGAGTTTATACTCTCTTTAAAGATACCCTTCAGGTATCTATATGTGCTTGTTGAAATGTTTTAAAGAATTGGTAAAAGATTTTAAAGTTGCCAGCTTTTTGTGAAAACCTTATGTGATTGATTTCATATTAGGATGTACATAGCATAAGGATGTGTTGTCATTTCTGAATAGCGATTTCTAGAGCCTTTTTGTGCTTTCCATTTTGTTAATTGTTCAAGTGTATTACTCTATTACTATTGCAGGGTGCAGAAAAAGTCATTTAAATTGAGTCCAATGAAGAAACCAAAAAATGAGGCGCCCACTGTGCTTCGTCGTTCTCTAAGAACTCTGGGAATGCCTCCAGATGCCTCTACAGCTGGTGGCCTGGGACATGATTTTGTTGAATCCAAAATTGGGAACAAACATGAGCAAGAAGATTCACTGTCGAAATTGCTTAGTGAGGCTGTACCTATCACTATGAAAGATGCCTATCAGGGTGTTTCTACAGGCTCAAATGAACAATTAATTGAAAACATTAAGAGTTTGTCGAGAAAACCTAAATTGGATGAGAAGGGTAATCAAGATCCTAACTTTTGTGATCTTGAGAAGATGACAAGGCCTTCATGTTCAGTAGATATTGACTCATTGAGATTGGAACCGGAAAATATTGCTCGGGTTGTGCCAGGAAGAATACTTAGTGTGAAGTTTTTCCCAACAACAGAGATGAGAATGGTTGTCGTAGGAAGCAAGTTCGGAAATATAGGTTTTTGGAATGCCGATGCAAAAGTGGATGGAGAGGGAATTTATGTTTACCAACCTCATTCTGGTCCAGTATCAGGGATAGTGATTGAACCATTTACAAAGTCAAAGGTGGGATCTATGCACAGACACACACACATGTGTGTATGTGTATTTGCATTGTGATTAAGAATTTATGATTTTCAAAATGTAGGCTTGTTAGCTTGTACGCACTCATCAGAAACACCATCAATGCTTGATTAGTGAAAGATATTGGAGATAATAGTTGGCCGTTTCTATTTTCATATATTAATAAGAAGTGCTTATTGAACATTTCTAAAATATTAGTTGATTCTGCTTTACATTAAAACTTTCATGGCTTAAGGTATTGGTTTGATTTGTGATTGCACCTTGTCTACAGATGATTACATCTTGTTATGATGGGTTTATCAAGTTGATGGACATTGAGAAGGAGTTATTTGATTCCATATATTCAAGCGACTACCCTATATATGCTATATGTCAAAGTCCAGGCAATATGAATTCAATATATTACACGGAAGGGAGAGGTGATCTTGGAATATGGGATTTGAGAGCTGGAAAGTCATCATCATCCTGGAATTTACATGGAGAGAGGATCAACTCTATAGATTTTAACTCCGAGAATACTAATAATATGGCTACAAGCTCTACTGACAAAACTGTCTGTATCTGGGATATGAGAAATGCTGGCTCCAAGAAACTAAAACCATTGAGAACTATTCACCATAAAAAATCTGTGCATTCTGCTTACTTTTCACGATCTGGCCGACTTCTTGCGTCAACAAGGTGATTTATTCTAGTCTCATAGATTGTGGCTGTTGCCAATAGAAATGAAATCCTGACCTCTGAAAGTGCTTTTTTATTGCCAGTTTCATTATTGTCATTCAGATTTTAGGTATTGGACTAGTGGACTTTTCTAGAAATGAGGTTTTCTTGAAATGGTTAACTTTACTCACACTGCTAGCTTGAATATATTTAAGCCAAAAGGAAGCTCCGTTGGGGTAATTCAATAGTCCTGTTCTATGTTTTTTTTAAACCCGAAAGTCACCTATTGAGGTGTGGTAAGTGTTGGGGAACACTTGCCTAATTTGTTACATAAAGTTGAATTATAGTCCTGTTCTATGTATATCTTGAGATTTGCAACGGACAAAGAAGCCATAACACATGTCATATAATTTGTTTAAGGCAAGCAATGAATAATTGGTATGTGTATGGTCTTGTAAGGTTATAGAGCTCATCGAGTCGTAGTTACTTGATCACTGAACCTGTATACTTTAGTGCCTGTGCTGTATCACTACTTATACTTGGCTATTTTCCATTGTTTGGGCAGTTTTGATGACAAAATAGGCTTGTCAAGTGGAGCTAATTATGAAGATGTATATATGATTCATCACGATAATCAAACAGGCAGATGGATTTCCTCATTCAGGCAAGTTTATTCTCAATCTTCATTAGTGTGTTCCTGGACAAATAATGACGTTGCACTAGCAACTAAGGATGTTTTTACTTGGACTGTAATTTGTCCCAGACCAGACCAGATCAGACCAGACCAGACCAGAACAGACCAGACCAGACTTGGGTAGTTATAAAAAGACAAAGAAACCAGACCAGACCAGTTCAGACCAGACCAGACCAGCAAATTACAGTCCAAGTAAAAACATCCTAACTATTACACACGGACTTTTGAGCTACATATGAATCTCATGGTCATGAATCCAATAAAAATAATTTAACAGGAATAGTGATTTTATTTATTTATTTATTTATTTATTTATTTTGTACATGTAAAGTTAAAAGTGATCAATTAAGTTACCCAACAAGATAAAAATATAAAACGAACACTTTTTTTTCCACTGAATTACTTTTTCTTTCGCCCCAATATTCCATCACTCAGCCTTTTTCTATCTTCGTGGTCACAGAACAGTATCTGTTGCCCCCTCCCTATGTAAGGTTCACATAGGAGACACGCAAGTTGTAATGGTCTTGATTATCTAATAGTTTAAACAAAAATTGATAGGGTCAGTAGTACAAAATGAAACTTTATGCATGTGTCTGATTGAGCTGTATCCGAAGCCAACTTGAATTATGGTTGGCATTATTCTTTTTTTCTGTCTGAAAGATTTGTGCGCGTTTGATAAAGCAGAGGTATATGGGGCTGGGATGATTCCTATATATTCATTGGAAACATGCGAAGGGGACTCGACGTCGTTTCAACAGGAGAAAAACAAATTCTTACGACATTACGGAATAAGCATATGTCTGCTATACAGTGCCGCTTTGATGCACACCCCTACAACGTTGGGATGCTTGCAGGCGCTACTAGTGGGGGTCAGGTGTATCTTTGGACATCTTAGCTAGCACAACATTGCATGCTTCTCAGTTCTCATCTTGAGATTTGCTTGAAATGATTGTCTTACCAAACTACTGCCGAGCTGCTAAAATTTCATGTTTTATAGAATAGCTGTAATGCTGTAATATTATGTATCACTAGATATCCTTAAACTGGTCTCAAGACTATCAAATTTTACCTTTGGTTGTAATCATTAGTACGTGGAACCAAAATCTAGTGGAATTGGTTTACATTGCACATAGCTCGGGTGGACTCAGTTCCAGTTTCACACCAGTACTAGGCGTATAAAAACCAAATTGGACACCCAATTTTCAGTTATGGATGGGAACTCGTAGGCTCGTAGCCAGTACTGATTTGATTAGTTTCGCGTTCTCAAAATTATGGCTTTACCCGATGGGTTCCGTGAATCTGCGTTTAGTTTTGTTCTTTAAATAATCATAATCAGTAATTTATATATGCTATATTGCTATTCAAACACTTCATCTCACATATCATTCTGTTTGTCCATTTGATCATTAGAGAGCATCTATCATATGCACTTGAAAGTTGACAAGAGATTTTGTAATTGTTTTCTCTCATTCACTTTTTATCATCAAACCTGAATCTTAAAAAAAGAAATGAAACACATTTGTTTTTTGTTGATAATTTGTCAGTAGATTTCTCAACATATATTAATATATAACCTTTGCTCTGAACTAAGTTGACTCAATGAGAATTATAAACAAATTTTTTAAAAAAATTAGGAAATCAAAGCATTGAGAAATTTGATAAATGTGGCCATTATATGGCTTCCTCTCACTTTTTCTCTCGTTATGTTACTTCATTAAGTTACAAGAATAACTCACAAGATAGCTAAGCTTTTTTTGCGTAATACATTTGGACTTTCTATCAATGATTTCCTTGAGCTAGGGTGTAAGAGGTTGCAGATTGATTGCATATCTATATCTAATTAAACCAACTAAGTATTCTGCCTAAACATAGACTGGACATTTTCATAGCTCCAACTCTACCTTTATTTATATTAGTATAATACTCCCTCCGTCCCAAAATGGTTGGCCAAATTTCCTTTTTTGGCCGTCCCAAAAAGGTTGGTCATTTCCATTTAAAGTAAGGAATATGTGGCTAAAGTTAATTCTTTCTATCTGCATAAATTTCAGTCACACAATTTTTACTTTATTAATCCACGTGCAAGTCAACATTGGCCAACCATTTTGGGACGGAGGGAGTACCTTTCTTTGTGATATACATGAAAAATAGAAACAACAAACCATATACTCCTAACATAGCAAATTATAAACATAGCAAATTAGTTTTCTTAAAAAGATCAAACATATTAATAACATCAAACATAAAAAATCATAATATATCTAACATCAAACATTACATTTCTAGTCAAGAAGTTAATGACAGAGAGAGATATTTAATTAGTAATACTTAATGATTAGTGAATAAAATAACATATTTTGATTATTTCGGACTAGGGGTGGACAAATCGATTTGGTTTAAGTGTTCAACCCAATCTAACCGTACTTGACCGAAGTAAACAAAATCCAGCCAAATAAAATTTACCCGAATTACATTGTTCAATAAATTCTTAATATATTTTAAAAAATTAACAAATCTAAACCGTACCGAACAAACTCCAAGTGAACCAAACCGAAACATAATACTCCCTCCGTCCCAATTTATTTTGCAAAGTCAACATTTTTTGGTCAACCAATAATAAAAGTCAACCCTCCTTATGTATAATTAATTCAATTTTTAATAAATAAAATTTACATATTCATAAACTACATCAAAATCTCTTTAAAGTTGTAAACTCCAAATTAGAATATAATTAAAAATTAGCATCATAATTAAGTGAACAAAACGTAATTGTTTGACAAAGAAAAGTCAAATTTGCATATCATTTCGGGACGGAGGTAGTATGATTTTTCTTTAGTAATTATTCTTTCAACTCGTTTCAAATCGAACCAAAACTGATATGTCCACCCGTAGTTTGGAGTTTGGACCGTTAGATTTGGTTCGATTATTAGAACTGAAAACCACAACTGAACAAGCACGGTTCAATTTCCTCTCGGTTCAGTTTTTGTAAATTCATTTTCATTTTCAGGTTTTACCGACTTACCCTTGAATGTGTACATTTTTTATAAAATTCAACTCACATACCTATTTGAGATGCTCTGAATTTTGTAAAGTTGTACATCTTCAACATGGATGAATTATATATTCGAGCATATGGTATACTCCCTCCATCCCGAATTGAAATTGCAAATTTTGACCGGCACAAAGATTAAGGAATGACAATAAATGATGCTTGCTTTTGACATTTTTTGTCCATCATCCTAAAAATAAATGCCTTTAAGTTGATGGAAAAAAGTAAAAGTAATGGTAAATTTGTCACTTTATTCTTATTTACATACCTAAAATAGAAAGTGGAAAATTATTTTGAGACAACCAAATTAGGAAATTTTGCAAAACAAATTGGAATGGAGGGAGTAGTAGACAACATGAAGGATATTGTTTTAGTTTGAGATGATTGAAAACTAAAAATATAAACATAGAGATCAATTTATATGCATGGACGTGATGCTAATGTTTATTTGTAGATCTCACATGCGATTTCGAAAGGAAAAGATGTCTACTTTAAAAAAGTGAAAAGTACATAAAAATAAAAAATTAAATGACATTATAAAAGTGAACGTGCATTCCATATATTTCAATGGTTGAGAAAATGTACCCGATTTAAATTAGTGTTACAGCTTAATAATCTGAAGTGGGGAAAAGCACAAAATTGATCAATTTATACTATAATGATACAATTGATTACAGGGATTGTAATCTTAATCACCGTTGATTTGGATTAATGGGGAATCTGGGTATGGAACTAGTAGAAGTGGTGTATTGTCCCGAATACTCACTAGTCAAAGCCGTAGAGTTTAAATGAAGCGTATAAAGGTCTGAAGATGATGAAGACCTATCTTGACCATCCATTTGGCCAACAAAAATGACACCATCTCGTGGAGTTCGCAATCCACGATTCCACGTCTCCTTATTGAACTTTCTCAACCTTTCAAGCTCCATAGCCACTTCCTTCATCGTAGGCCTATCTGCGCCGTTCAAGTGAACGCATCCCCTCGCAAGCTCTGCAACTCTCTCCGCTTGTTCCAATGCCGCTTCCTTCAAAACACGACGATCCAGAATCTTGAACAATTGATTCTTATCCATGGATCTCACCACATAAGCTGCCAAATTCCTCTCCTCCTCGCTTCTTTCTCTTGAAACCGGTTTCATTCCGGTCAAAAGCTCACAAATTACAACTCCAAAACTATACACGTCACTCTTTTCGGTCAATTGACCCGTCTGGAAGTATTCCGGGTCCAAATACCCGAACGTCCCTTGCACTAAAGTGGCTAAGTGGGTTTGGTCCAAAGGGATTAATCTGGACGCGCCAAAGTCTGAAACTTTCGCTATATATTTATCATCTAGTAATATATTTGCTGATTTTACATCTCGATGGAATATAGGTATTGCTGCCGATGAATGGAGGTAGGCGAGTGCACTCGCAGTTTCTGCCGCTATTCTTAATCGGATTTCCCATGAAAGCCAATCAGAACTGCCGCCGAGTTTGTGGATGTGCTCGTAGAGAGTGCCGTGGGAGACGTATTCATAGACCAACATCGGAACTTCAACCTCGAGACAACAACCTATGAGTTTGACAACATTCCGATGGTTGACCTGAGTGAGGATGACTACCTCATTGATGAATTCTTCGATTTTGCTCTCGTCCATAGTTTTGGATTTCTTGATGGCGACTACGCGATTGTCGGGTAGGATGCCTTTGTAAACGATGCCGTTTCCCCCACGGCCGAGTTCACGGTCACTTGAGTAGTCGTTGGTGGCTCTTTTCAACTCCTCAGCGGTGAAGATTTTCGCCGCATCTACTCCGGCTCCGTCTACTGTGGTTGTTATTCTCTGATTCAAGATTAAACCACCATTTTGTTGAAAGAATTTCTCTCGTAGTCGGATTAGTCTTGTTTTCTTAACGAAGAAGTATAGCCATGTTACTCCAGCAACCAACGATAAAAAACCGATCCCGAGACCTGTACATTTTATGACAAATTTTATATTGGGTGTCTAGTGAGACAAAATAAAAATAAAATGTCACAGTTACTCATTTAAAGTTTTAGATATACCATTTCTAAACAATTTGTCATTTGTATTTAAAGTGATAGATATGTGTCGTCAAAGTTATTCATCCCTCATTTATACAAATTTCAATTACATGGTTTTACTTTCTTATTCTACAATTAAGTCACATTTGGCTGAATTTTATGAAATGAGTTTAGTATAATCTAACAGCAAAGCAGTCACCACCTACATATTTTATCAAATAGATTATCATTGTTTTATTTTGAATATAAGACACCGTGTATTTCTTATAACATTTATGAATACTTTTCCATGTTATAGAATTGAATTCCAGTATTTACTACGAGTACAATTTCTGACTATCAAATTGTTAAATATATGTATATTTGATGTATTTGCAAATATATATATATATATATATATATATATATATATATATATATATATATGTATATTTGTTCTTTTTTCAAACAGAAATAGCCTCGTCCACTAAATAATCAAATAAATTAAGATTGTAAGCATGGAAGGTTACATAATTACATCGACATAATCAAATCAGCATATGGTTTGGTAACTAAATAGTGTCACCTAGTCTTAATTAACAATAGATCAATTAGCCGCCCAACCTAATCTTTTCACTAGATTTGCATGGAAGTATCAATTTTCTATTTACTTGAACATGCCATGTCTCTTGATTATGGCTTATGGGGAAATAAGGAAATTTTACATTTGACTTAAAACTAATCGTGTTATATGAGTTACATTCTTGCGTAATATCCGCTCATTCGACCAAGTCTTACATGCAATTTGGAGTTCTCTTGGAGCACTAAATTAAACGTTAGGTAGACTTCAATCTCCATGAGCTGTTGGAGTTGCTCTAGACAACATCATCTTAATACCATTTACTTTTGTGTGTCTACCTTACTGTGGAATACAATCCAAAATTTAATTGGACCGCAATTTCCTGGTTTGATCTGGTCTAATTAAGTTTAGTTTACTTTTGTCTAATTGGAACAGGTTTGATCGGGTAGATGTCTTTTCTATGTGTATGCTACAACGGTCCAAGTATGATCGGATCTGGTCTGTTTAAGTTTGATTTAGTCCGATCTTGACTGTAAATTAGAAAACATCCTAAGTTCTCATAGGCTATTTCGATATCCATGAACTCTTGTTGGAATTGTGTTGTAGGTCACTTCATTCCAATATAATTCATTCGCCTCTTGTAACTTTATCATATTTCATTTCTTGA